ATAGAAGTCATATAACCTATATAATAGTGTTGTAATTAGTCTATGCAAGCTTGCTTTATTAACTTTAATTTCACCTTTCTCAGTTACTTGATTGATATTTAATAACAAGGTGTGAACATGTTTCTCATTAAATGTAAAGACGACAATTCCTATTGTATAGTTAATGATGTAGATGTTGTTTGTGATAAAGAGGTTGTGGAAGATGCAGACATTGTGCAATTTTTTTGGAATAAGATGTTTTCTGGAGTTATCGTTATGCGTTCAGGTAAAATAATATAATTTATTTATAATTCATATTAGTATCACATAATATATATATTAATTAGTATTATGATGTTTCAACATAACGTGATACAGGTTAAAATGTATAGTGGGTATATATACGATAAAAAAGATTAATATGAAATGTTTGTATATTTTGCAAATGTTTGCATATTTTAGAGAGTGTGGAATTGTTAAATAAAGAATTTTGCCGATTAAAGAAGATTGAAGAAGGTGAAAAGAAAAGTTCAACTTTACAGAATACAAATATCTGTGGTAAAAGAAAATCTGTAAAAAATAAGACATGGTCACCTGAGCCAAGTATTTCCAAGAAAAGAGTGAAAATTAATAAAAAGATTAAAAAAGTATTAATTTCTGTGCTAGTAATTATAATATTATTAAGTTAATTAAAACATTAAGTTTATTATAATATTATTAATAATTAATATTAGTTTTAATTATAATAAAAGATATATTAAATGTAAATAATACGTCTGAACCGAGCACTATGAATTTGCACTATTACAGTGTAGTATGACAGTTAATTATATAAAACTTTATTAATAGTAATACAATTATTTTTGTAGGATTTAAAATCAAAAAAGGAAATTAATACTCATTATTAAAATATTATTGATTTAAATGATACAGAGTCTTTTACTACATCTGATAATGATGAAGACCAAAATAAAGAAAATGTAAGTATAAATATACTTTTAAACATACATTTATTATTAAACTTTATTTACAATTACAAATATATTATCATTTATTATCAAACTGTATAATGTTAATTTCCAGATGATTAATACTTTTGTTAATGCAAAAGCACATATATTAAGGAACTTGATTTTGATAAATCTGACATTAGTACTCTTACCGAAGTAGAATTAAAAGAAATTGCATTAAAATACTACGAACTACTAAAAAAACCAAAAGCTATTGATTTAAATGATTTATCTACTAATGCGGTAAAGGATTTTCAGTTAGCTAAAAATAAGGAAACTTTAAAAGATGACGAAAAAAATAATAAAGACGAAGAAGATGATGCAACAGATAAGATAGATGAAAACGATGAGAATAAATATACTGCACATGATTCACATCTTATCGATGATATGAAAGATGATGATGATCAACTTTTAGGACGTAATTATGCTGATGATAAGATATATATCTAATCACAAGCTGCATTTCGATATTCACATGTATAGTATACGTGCCAATATTTTACATGTATAGTATACATGATATCAACTGCACATGTATTATACTGCTACAATATTGGCACAGTAATTCTTTTTTTGTTATTTTATGTTTTTCTTTACATATGTGTGTATTTTTTTAGATGATACATCTACGGGATGGAATTTATTGCAGAAAAAAGATTTATGATTATGCAATAGGAAGCTTACATAGAGCAACTCATGTGGCTCGAAAATTACTGAAAGGAGTTTTTCAAAAAGAAGCTTTGCTGAAATGTACATTTAGTGGTCAATCACCACGTCACATGGGTAAAGATCATCAAATACTAGATGTATCCTGTTTACATGATGTAGCAAAACATGCCATAATAGGTTAATACTTGATTTAATGATTATATTATTAAACAACTACATGTTTAAGTGCAATTACTGAATCATTTCAAATCATTACAGATTTTTCAAGAGAAACCGCTAAACGAAGAGGTTGGGAAAAACAATAAAAAAAAAATAAAGCAAGCAATGTCTCAAAGATTGAGCGAATTGAAACGAGATAATAAATGGAATGCACAAAAAATGCACAAATAAATTTTATATTTGCTATAATAAATGTGATTCACTATAACAAATATCCAAGGATATGAATTCAAGGATATGATTAGATATTTTTTACACAAAGATTAGATTTTCTTTACAAAATTTTTTGGATATTACTTTAATACTTATTATTTTTACTTTAATTTTTCTATGTGCATGTTCTTAATTAAAACAATTTTCTGAATTTCTTTAAAAAAACATTTTCATTAAACAGTGTGACGTCCCTTTTTGGACCGTCCGTCACAAGGGATCCACGGACCCGACCGCGGGCGGTAGTCTTGTGTCCTGCGTCCTCCCGATTTTCGGAGGTGGCGCGGGCCGCGGGGCTACATTTGCGTGGCTCCCGCCGCCCGAATACCGAATACCGTTCATAATCACTTTTTTAGTTTCCGTAGCGATCTCGATTGTTAATTATACCGTATCGGCGGCTATCGGAGAGTTTGTAGAATTTCACCCGTCTCACCGACATCGCAGCAACCACGAGAAGAGGACCACGAGGGCGGAGAAGGCAACACCAAGGGAACAACATGTACAGGTCGTATTTGAGTCCGCGTTTCTTTCCATAATTTGAGAGCAATTAAGCTGCCGAGCTTCCTTCCAGATTCCGGTGCGAGCCAGCTAAGGCGAGGACAAAGGGGATGGCCACTCTACGCCCTCAGATCGGGCGAGAGACCCCGTAGTCGGCAACGCGATAGGGCGCCTCGAGGATAAGACCTGCCGCCAGGGCTCCTCGAGAGAATTTGTTCCTGAGGACGAGCCGCCTGAGCGTGCCAAAGCGGGAGCGCACCCGGTGGTACCGCCGACGCAAGGACATCGCCGCTAATTTAAATGCCGTGCGCAGGGACGCAGGACCCGCGGCGCTACGCACCTCACGCGATTCGCGGAGGTCGCGAGCTCGCACGCCCGCCAATTAGGGGCGCGGAAGGATATACCACGTGGGCCCACCGGCCCAGCGAGATCACGGAAGCAGCGGCACTCGGCACTTGTGCTGTGGTTGTCAAGTTGGAAGGACGCAGGACGAAGTGCGATCTGGAAAGAGCAATCTGCTGAAATTCAGCCGAAGTCGAGACGAGCTACCGTTCCCGTGACGAGGAGTTTCCGGTGAGACGAGCGCACTTATGTAAAGCCGCCAATTTTCCTCGTGTCAGACGGGCCGCGAGGAACACGCGTTCATACCTCTCGTTCTCGTTTTGTGACTCGGCCATAGCCGATAAAGATTTTGTATATCCCGGCGCCCCGTCTGACTTTGCGTATCGAGATATCTTCTTGCAGGACCGTCGCGCTACGCGCCCGCCGAGCGCCACAGCCAAGCCAGTTTATGTAATAACCGAGCGCTCCGCGCCGGCGTACTAGCGAATATCACGCCCGCACTGCATGCTTTCCGATTTCGCATGTTACGCGGATGCAAGGGGCATGTAATCTGCGAGTCGTACCGCCGAATGGGAAACCGCTCTAAACTTTCCGTTTTCTGAGATACGATCTCGTCTTACGATCGTGAAAAACGCGAATTGCGAGTCTCCGTTCACTTCGTGCACGCTGCACTGTTGCGCGTTTCGAGTGTCCCCGTCACTTATCATATTTTCGTTCGTATTTTCAAATGTAATATTCGTCCGCTTAATACACTTGTTACTTTCATTGTTAATAATTACTGTCATTTCTTTCAGCTTATTCTCGCTCCCCGAATCTTGACCGTTTTCCTTCGAATCATCCCTTCTACCATTACCGTAACTGAGCAACCGGTTATCGCCGTCCTTGTCCGACCGTTGTATCGAATTCGCGCCTGATCGCGTGATTAACTAATTTTCTCTTGAGTCATTAAATTTCCGAACAACGAGATTTTTCAGTAGAGAGGCACTCTCTATAACGTGCCTGGCGCCCAATTCTTGTTCCCGTTTTCGATAGGCGAGATGCCTGAGTCACGGTTAATCACGCATTAGATTCCACTTTATCGTTTTCGCGGAATTACGCGGGTCGGACGAGCGACGAA